CAAACTCAGTTTTATCGCTTATCCTGGATTGCATAATTCCCTATGAATTGCCTGTGTCATATTTATAGTTCTAACTGGTGTTCAACGTTGCTGCTGCAATTTAGGTCATTAACAAGTTGGGATTTTTCCAAATCTGAAAAATCTGGGGGCTGAAGAGACATTACAGGAGAAAAAAAGAAAGACTTTCTCTTGTACTACAGATAATTTCTTTTGTGTAGCAGTGGCAAGTGTTATCACTTTGTTTATCCTATAATTTACCAGTAGGTAAATCGAAAATAAATCATAAATATATTTTTTAGGGAGAGAGGCAAACCAGGGTACAGTTTACTAAACAAAATGAATAAAAATGTTTCATTTAGTTTGTTTTGTAAAAGTCATTTACAAGTTACAAGCTATATATGAGCTTTTAAGAACTTAGCATACAGTAAGTCCTTCTCTTATAAGCTAAGAGTGGTTTAAGAGTAGCAACTGTACTCTTTTATAAAGGATTATGTAAGTAGATTTTAAAATTTGCACAAGGAGAAATATTTCCTTACGTACATAAAACCAAGGACAGCTTTTTTAACAGATGAACAAAGCTTCTACTTTGTCTGGCTGATTTTCTGCAAGTTTCATACCAGTTAGAGATGCAGATTCCTTACTGGTAGATTTTTACTTGCAACATAAGGGATGAGAGGCATTTGTGACAGCATGCGGGACGGTTGATGGAGAATGATCTCATGCAATGCTTAAAACTGAATTTTCCCATTCAACTTGAATTACCTGTTTGTTTAAGGCCTAAAGTCTTAAGGCAGACTTTCAGATGTTCTTTGTTAGACGTTTTACATTTTTATGTTCACAATAGCTTAAACTGTGCTTAAGTAAATACATTTTTTTTTATATGACTCAACTTGCAGCTTCATAAATCCAGCACTAATCTACAGAGTGTAGGACAGTATAAAGGAGGCATATCATGCTTTTAAATCCTTTCTTTTCAAAGATAAACCATTCACTTGTGGTAAATGTAGAACTGTAATCCTTTTGCTGAATTTCTGCTCCTACGGTGCACTTTTTATTCCTGCTGTAAAGTGTGTTGAGAAGCAAGGTGCTACAAGTTGATGTTTTCTTATGGAGCATAAATTCAATGTTTCTGCATTCCTAAAGACTCCGAAAGCAAAACAGTATGTATTCAATGGCTATGTGCTTTCCCAAATTGGTGGTTGGGCAAAGTATGATAAATCTTTCAAACATGAGTCCTTCTGACACACCCTCCCAGTGCTTTTTAAAGTTCAAACAGAGAGCTATTTTAAATACCCTAATCTTTATACTCTGATTTAGAAATCACCTTATTTGCAGTTATCAGCATACATATTTGATTAAATTAACCTGATGTATTTAATTCCTCACTTCCCCTATGCTATTTCAAATTAAAGTATAACAGTGTTTTCCTTATAGTGAATAATCACCTACATCAATCTGCTGAAGTTACATTAAAACTTTTTAAGTCACTAAGAAGCTAAGTAAAATATATTTGAGAGATTAATAGCACTTTAATACAATATGGATCATACTCTTGACAAATACATATTTAAAACTCTTGGGATTCATCTGAGACCATTATTTCCATTTTAAATATATATTTTTTCTTATCTGTGCAATATTGTTAAAAAGAGTAGCAATTTTAATAAGGATTGCTTTTTTTGGCCAATGTAAAAAAATGTTATTGATATGACACCACTAAATATTCTTATAATCTATTAACAGAAAAAACATGTTAAAAATTTTAACATCACGTAAATAAAAAAAGCTAAAATAAAATCTTGTTTAAGTCAGCTTTTCAAGTTTTAAGCTGAGCAATTGACAAACCTGTGTGGACTGGAAAAAAAAAAGGTTGAGCTGTCTAAGAGGGAGGAGGTATTTTGACAGGGAGCCCAGAATGGGTGGCTGGCAGATACACCAGGGAAACAGAGAGAGAGAGGAGACAAGAGGGCGAGGTTAAGAGCAAGAAATGAGTATGAGGAGACGTATCCTGAAAGTAGCACTCTTTATTAATTTTTTCTTCTTGGTGATCCTCTTGTTTCTTCCCCCATGGCACACAATGGAGAAAACGTAAGTTAAATGGGATGCAAACACACATTGTTAAATGTCTGAGTTTCAGTTGGTTGTGCACATAGATGTAGAGTCCTAATGCTGCAGTTTGATTTGTGCAAAAAAGAAACTTGACAAAGATTTTTTTTTCTCTTTGGCAATACTTTCATATGTCCATTTAGTTTGTCAGGAATTATGCAAAATGATTCCTTAATTGACAAAAACCCTTCCTTAACATAAAAGCTTTAACACTGTTTGACTTACATACATTTTGTATTCACTAATACCTATAGAGTGCTGCAAAAATACTATTTGATCTATGTTTTAAGAAAAACAGTTTTACTTTTGTGTTTTAACTTAATTCCTGGGTTCTCTGGAGCCAATTTGATTAAAATGGAATACAGAAGCTCTTCAGAAATTTTGAACAGAATAAAAAATATGACCCAAACAGTCAAAATCACCTACAAAACATATTCATCTTATAATATGACTACGTATGTAGCAGGTCAAGGCAAAACTAGGAACAAATCATCCAGGCCATTTTGTGTTATTCACAGATCATAAAGGAGTAGAATCTAAGCTTTCTAATAACAAAATCATTAAAAAAAACTGAGGAAGATATGACCATTTAAAAGTGAGGAGGAAATCAAAGTTTGTTTTTTTTATCATTTGGGAAGCCACCCGGGTACTAGCAAAAATTGTTTATTTGAATAACTTTACATACCTGGCTACAAAACGTCCCGCCAGCTATACTTATGTTACATGTCTGCATTAGACAAACAAAGCTTTTAATTTGCCAAAAAATTGCCACACCAAATTTAACAGTAACACAAATACACACACAAACATGTATTTCTGTTTTTGTGGGGCCTATGCATTGACTTCCATTTATTACAAAGCTGTTTCTACAGCCTTATCATGACCCTTAATCTAAACCTAACCATTACGGGTTAAAGTCTAACTCCTACCTAAACTCAATTCACACCTTAGACCTAAACTTGACCCCTGACCCTAACCCAGCAATTCCCCTTTTCGGGTCCTACAAAACAGTTAGTCCCCATATCATGCTATTTTCGAAAGTATGGACCCCACAATGTTTCAAATACAAGAACACACACACTATGTCCCGCTAGCCACTTGATTTGTATGGCCTAATACAGACTCACACCCTAAGCTAAACCAATACCAAAACATAACAAACCCTAACCCTACCCAAAACTCAATTCATACCCTTAGTCATAAACCTGATACCCAATCCAAGAGGAGGAGCTTTTCTTATGGGACCAGTGGACTGATCCCAACATGCTCTTTTAAATCCCCAAAGAGTAGCTTATTCCTAAGAATTGGCCTTAAACTGTTCCTGCAAGGTAAAAAAAAAAAACAAATTAGCAAGAAGCAACAGCTGGACCAGCATAAAACCATAGAACAATCACTGAAAAATTAACAAAGATACGTACATTTATATGCTTATATAAAGGGGTTAGACTCCATTATATTAAGTTTACATGGAGAAAATCTCTTTCCCAGATGAAGTATGAGGCGCACCTTCTCACTAATAACCTAAACTTCTTTTCATGTAACAGTAAATAACAGGCAATAACCAACATACCTGCCGACATTATGGCAACATTATGGCTGTAAGTTGTTTGGATCCCACTACAAACCCCAGCTGAATCAGTAGCCACACCAACTTGTCAGTATGAGGCTCTGCCACTTCGACACAAATTTAAAAGACGACCTTTAAATCTGTAAACTGGCAAAAATGAAGTTTTGTGTTGTATGTCCTAGCTTAAAAAGATATTAAAACTTATTTTGACAAACTAGATGTTTAAAACATTTATGGATTCACCTTGATCTGTACTGCCGCCGGTGGAACAAAGAGCTGCAGCTGTACACAAGAACAATCTTCAACAAGGAAATATAGGGAAAGGTACAAAGTACTCGATCTTTAGTAGGACAAAAGCCTCAGGGAAGCAAAGTTAAATTAGTTAGGTAAATTTGTATGTAGATGCAAACTATTCCCTGAAAGGCCCCAGGCTTTTAATTGGCAATGGAAAAGTGGCTTTTAAAGCCTTAGGATTTAGGATTAGATCAATGGCATCCTGAGTAATTCATCAGCATGCCTTTTCATTACTTTGGAATATCCGCCACCTTGGGCTTGAGAGAAACTGCCCTACACCTCAAGTTCAACAGATGGTGAGAATAATAACATACTAGTGGTTCTCCCTTTACCACCAGTGCCGAGCAGCTGTTATTAAAACCCTAAGCTTATTATAAGTTTATTTTACATTTCATTGGTTAACAACCTGCTTCTGGTCAGAGTTTGTTTTCAACTATATGATTAATTTAAAATAACCAGTCAAGGCTAAATTACAGTTATTTTATTTTATTAAAGCAACTAGGTAAATATAAGATAGTTATAGCAAAAACAAACATTTTTAGTCAAAATTTTATTTATGAAAATTAGTCCACATAAGATCTGAATTATGGGAAGCATGTAGATATTGAATAAGGGGGCCCTAAGATTCACCCCTGGGGATTGCCACATAAGATTTCTCTGGTCAGTCATATAAATAATCTACTAACACATGAAAATCTCTGTCCTTCAACTGGGATTAAAACCAGCGCAGCCAAAAAGGTTGATCCAGTTTTGCTAAGAGCTTTAATAAGATTGAGTGATCATTGTCCAATATTTCCAGCACTGTGGTACTTCCACAGTCTGTATTTAAGTGGATGTCATTGAACACATTGACAATGGTGTCTCTGTACTGCTTTGAGCATGGAAGCCTAACTGCAGGACACTGAAGAGGCCAAAGTTTTAACTCTGTGTAAAAAAAAAAAATTCTTTTATAAAACATTTAAGCTTTATTTCAAATAGTCAATCTACAACGGCCGAATATGTTTGACTATGTATTTTCTTCTCATTTTCACAGTTCAGAGAAACCTCGCCACACCCTAAAGAAAAACAAAGATTGTAGCCACTGCAGGTAAGAGCAAAGCTGGGCTTTCTTTTTTTTTCTTCTTTTTTTTTTTTCATTGTATTGTATTTTTGTGTGATTTTCTTATTCCTATATCTGCAATACTTAATTCTAAAGCCTGTTCTGCATCTGGACGTGTTTATGTGTTTCAGGGAGATAAAAAGTCTCTCCATAGATGTTTGCTCTAAAGCTTCACAAACAGAGGAGGTCACTGATGTAACATCAGGGTAAGGATTTAACTTTCTTTTTACCAAACTAAATAAAGGATCACTATATTATTATTATTTAGGCATCCCCAAATTAATTTATTACAAAAAACAAATAAGATCATTAGAATCACTGATGATGTTTTCACAGTTGTGTCTGTCAAGTCTTGTAAAGTCTGCAACCAAAAAACCAGCCTAACGGCCTTGCAGCAACATTCCAGCTGGCTAGACCATAACACCTTTATTCATACATAAGACATTTTTTTCATATTTTTTTCCTTTGCTTAGATGCTTTGTTGATATATCTTACAGAGCCAAAGTCCCTGTCCAATGACTTTTGTGTGGAAGTTCAACTGTCACTTTACTTCCAAGTATATAATTAATGTTAATCTCTGGAAGATTTACACATGTGTTGTAGAAGAGCCCTTTTTTACTCTGTGGTATTTTGTCTGGATGTCCTCAAAAAAACTGCTAATTAATAAAGCCAAGAAAATCTACTATGAGTCTCTTATATTCCCTTGTTGTTGTTGGACAGCAAGCAAAGCATACGAATAATGATAAAGATTTTATTTTTTATCATTACAAAAAATCTCAAGTACTACAAAGAATGAATAAGTTGCAGGTAATAGAATCAAAACACTTTCTAAAGGCAAAAAAAAGCTAGTCGCTCCTATAAAGAAGCATTAAAATATTATATGTAAAATGGAGATATGTTATGAGGGGAAGAAATCGATTTTGATTGCTTAGAGGGGAGCAGAAATGTAAAAAAAAAAAAAAGCTGCAGTGACAGCCAATATTTTCATAGGAGGTAATGTTCCAGAAAGCACGGTGCTGTCTGGAAGGAAGTTATTGTCTTTCATTCATGCAGCCATCAGGAACAAACTTATCAAAAAGATGATGGGTTGATATGTACATCGTTCCGCATGTCTGGCAGTTTCTGCAGATTGTTGCTCAAGATCTAAGCAAGAACAGTAAAACTGGGAGGGCACAAAGGTATGAGCCAGTTTTTCAGCACTAGCAAGGTATAGCTTGGAGGAAGGTTTGGGCAATAAATCTGAGATAGTAAAAGGAAATCATGCTTAGTTCTAAAATTATGGCAAAATAAATAGATACAATGAAATAAATTAAATTGTGACTGAAAACAGCCCCTTAATACTCTGCTTTCAGTCAACTGGAAATTTTCACCTGTTCCCATTGTTTGAACTAAACCTAATTGTTATGATGGTTGACGGTTAAAAAAGATGGTATTGGTATTATTTTCTTAACTTTAACCATTCACTGAATGATGTAATCAATAAAGGCTCTTGGGATGCAACATCCAAGCTTTTCCTGATACTAATTTATGGGTATTATTTGACATCCTTATGATCATTGGAAAATGTATTTTACCTAATCAAGGTCCAACAAAATGTAATGAAGCAAGGCATTGCATACGTATTTCAGGATGATAGCTTAATGTTCTTCCTGTCCTTAAGCATTATTTTGCTTGTAGACGAATCTTGTTCTAAATCTTATGATGGAGGTTGCTGTAATGTGTGATATACTCCAATAAACACCCAGTATGTAGGGGGCGGGTGTCCGGATCCACATTTCTCCACTTTCTGTCTGATTCCAATACTTGAATTTGGATATCCGCAGATCCTAATACTTTTCCAAAACCAGAGCTGTGTTTGCTTTAATCTTAATATCATTACTGTTGATTTTCTCTACAATTAACTATGATATGTATTCATGGACACATGCATCCCAAATTTCAACTTCTGATTAGAATAATGTCTGAAAAGGAAGTCACACAACAGTAAATCATGAAAATATACTTTCAGGATGAAAACAAATATGCAATTGTGAGGGTAAAAATGATCTGTATTTATCAAATCCCATAAAGTGGTAAACGTTTCTGTTATCCTAACTTCAACTGAACGGTATGGGCCCTTTCTTACTGATAACTGTTCAAGAATTTTCTTCAACACTGGGACTGATAAATATATTAATTAATCCCAGATCAGTTAATCTCTAGAGTTATTATGTCTGAAGTACCATCAGTAAATTAGGCAACATTTTAGCAATTGTCCGATTTAATCAATTGTTCTTGAATAGAATACAAATATCCTTTATTGTCCTTTGTTAGATTTTTGATTCGTGAACAGTTCAAGATTTTGCAGCAGTTAGAAGTGCAAAGTTAAACTGGATGCATATATCATGTCAACAGCTATGAAGTGGTCTTTTATTGTTAAAGAGAGGCAATGTTCTTTGAGTCAAGACTGTCAAGAGATTAAAAGGATAAAAAGATTATTAACTTGAAAAGTTTGAACCAAAACCAATTTACTTTTAATTACATAGTCCTGTAGGTGTCAACAAGAAAGGAACTCCTGACAAGATTTAATTTCAATGATTTAATGACCTATTAAACATGACAATCAAACAAGCTCTTTGGCATGTGTACTGACATAGTTGTCAGCCCAGGTATTATGCATGTGATGACAACGATACGTAATGCATGACTGTGAAAGAAGAGAAGGTCTGTCATATAAACAGGGCCAACTGCCAGGAAATATGATTAAGATCTCCCTATGAAACTGCTGCAATATAGATACAATATTAAACTTTGACCTGAACAAACGTTCATTATGGTTAAAATTCATGAAAACACTCTTAATTCCTGACTATCGCTGTTTCTCACGCTATGGTTGAGGACTTCCAGGTCAAACTGCCCAATCTTTATTTCAGTCCTGACTGAAAGCAACTATTCTGTCACAACCATGGCCAATAAACTGAAGCTGATTGTGTTTTGATTCGCCTTCTAAATGTTCTCAAACAAAGCCTATGTATAGAAGGAGTTAGAAAAAATTGAGATGTTGGTGGTTTACGGTACAGTATGTATAGTAGAACATGTTCCTGTCCCTCCAAATTTTTGCATTGGTGAACCCTTAGAGGCAATACATTTAGTTATATACTCTAGCTTTCATATGTAAAAAAAAAAAAGTATGACTTGATCAGGAAAAAAGAACATTATTAGGAATAATCCAAACTAGTTTTTATAAGCAGCTCAAATTATACCAGTCTCAGAACCGATCTGCTAAACTATAGATTCTTTGTATTGGAAACAAGACAGTAAAACATCATTTTAGAGGATTAAAGTGACAGATTTTTTTACCCTGAGCTATCAACACCATTTGTAAATGGTAGACCAGGTTTCTAAATTGTTTTTATTACTTTTTTTAAATTATTTTAATTTAACGATGAAGTGAGTGACACTTTTCATTTCGCGATATTTTTCCTCTTTAGTTTGTATATTATATATCGAAATATTTTTTTTTTATTTATGATGAATTATGGATTTTTAAAGTCAATTTTTTGCAGAAGCACTTCCCTTGCCTATAACTTGTTGTCTAAATGTGCCACTATAGGTTCACCTTAGTGCAAGGCTTTTGGTGGAACATTTTGATAAGCTACAAATGAACAAAATGTATGCTTATGTCGTTCATTATTAGCTTATTTAAAACTGTTTTTGTAAAATAATTAATTCCTATGGGATTGTTTTTCAAACACATTTTTCATAGTTGGTGATACCTACAATAAAAACACATAATTCATCATGCAGACATATTAAAGGTTATACAACTAGTCCAAAAAATTACATAACAGTGTAAGGTGTCCCCTTAAAGATCATACCTCTGTTGAAGTCGCTTTACGATTTAAATACATATTCACATGTGAATACTGTATGTATGATGAAGCTTCAAAATGAGATATTTATGTTTAAGTTAACAGATCTGGTTACCTCTTCTTCTGTAATTCCAGTAAAGACCAACCTCAGAAAGTGGCTGACAAGAAAGAAGCTTCTAAGCCATGTAAAGACTGCAGGTGAGAACCAATCTTTGCAAGCAAGGAAGGAAGGAAGGAAGGAAGGAATCTTGAGAACCACTGCTTTAGTCTTAACTTAGCCTGTGCAATAACAGAATCATCACACTTCACAGTTTTCTAACCTTGTTGTGTTTCTGCGTATGTAAATTTGCTGCAGGAAGCAAATCAAGGACATTTTAGAGCCTTACTCTCAAGCCTGGGCGAGGAAGGAGGAAAAGCATGAGGAAATAAGGTAAGAATATAACTATCAGAATCTTTTGTAGCCTAATATCAGTTTTATTCCCATGTGGCTTCCAGCACACTAAAGAGCATGAAACATTTTTTAAAACTGCTTAAGAGGTCACCAATGCTGTGCCCGTGGCCACCAAGGGGTCCTCAAGGAGCACATGGGGTGCGATCAGTGTCTTCTAAAAACAGAATAATTCACCAGTAGGCTAAGTTTCCAATTCTGTTTAATTCTGTTCAACCATACATGGAGCATTTTATTAAATTAATCATATAGAACATTTAAGCATTTATAGAGACTTCAAAATAAATATATTTTAAAAAATTAAAAAGAAAAAGAGAAAAAAAGCTTATTATGTATGAAGTTTAGTTGAATGCTGTCAGTATTGGTAGACCTCTTATGATTAAGTATACATGAAGTAGCTCTTAAAGTCTTAAAAAGATTGGTGACCTCTGTCTGAAACTGTTACCAGAAAAGGATTGTGAAGGGTCAACATGGAAATGATTTCTTGCATTTAAAAATCACACATTGGAGCAAGTGGTGGACGTTGTTAGATATCAGGAATACATAAAGGAAATGGAAGCACAGGGACACGCCACAAAAAAAGAACTTGATATTAATAGAAATATTTGATGTTCATTTATTTAGGATGCTGTTTCTCTTTGGACCAAGTACAATATAAAAAAAATAAAATTTATATTTTATGTTTAACTCTGACACTTAAAAACACTTCCCTTCCTAGGAATTTATATATTGCCGCAAACTCTAATGAATACTGTAACAAACAAAAGAGGCTGTCAAAAGTTTATGTGTTCAATTACTTAACTATTCGTTAGCAGAAGAACCAGTTTTTCAGACTCAGTCATTACTGGTTAATATTTTGTTCCTTCCTCATAGAACAGCATTTTCCAATAAGCCCGAAACATTTAAGGAAGATATATAACGTACGTCGCAGAGTGGTGCAGTTTGTAGCATTGTTGCCTTGCAGCAACAAAGTTCTGGATTCAATTCCCAGCCTAGAGTTTGCATGTTCTCCCTGTTCATTTTTAGGTTTTTCTCTGGGTTTTCCAGCTTTCTCCCATTGTCCAAAAACATGACTGTTAGGGTAAATGGTGTGAGTGTGTGTTCATGGTTGTATGTGTCTGCCCTGGAAACCTGTCCAGGATTTACCCTCCCTTTCACCCATATACTGCTCCAGATAGGAACATGCTTCATTCTGACCTTCGCTTTGATTTAATAGTTAATATCTTGTTATGCTGTTACACATCTTACAGTTGCTTTCTGTTTCTAACTAATCAGCACTTAAAAATAAAATTCTTTCTTTTTTTTTACTTTTTAGGACTTTGCTTAAACTCAAGGTCAGTGGTTATAAAAGTGCCATTATTACTCAGGAAAACACTCCGGTGGGATCCAAGCTTGTTATGGATGGACAGAAAAAGAGGAGTATTGAAGTGAACACTGAGCATTTTGAAACATTTTTAAAGGTAGGTTGTTTTCTGTTACACACAAAGTATTTATGATGACATTACTGAGCGTTAGCGATGACAACTTTTGGTGATATTGTTATTTTAGATTTGAAATGAATAGTTCCCAATTAGCCAAGTCAAATCAAAACACAATTTATTCTCTATCTTAGCAACTCTCTCAAAGAGCAAAAATACTTCACAAAAAATACATATTCTTATTTAGTTGATTACTTTTTGGTTTCTATAAGTTTTCAGAAAAAATTCTTAATTTTTAAAAAAAAACCTCTTAGCTAGAAGTATCTAAGGAAAATGCATTGGTTCGGTGAGATGCAGAGATTGAAATCGGTTTATCCTTTTTAAAAATAGCTAAATCTTATCTGCTTTTGCCAAAAAAGGCTTGTTTGACGAGCCTAAAGAGGAGGAAGCAGCTTTTTGTGACTGAAACCACAGTCAGGTTAGAGTAGAGATCGCTAAATGACCAGTATATCTTGTTTCTCCAGACTTCAAAAACAAACCATTGGCTGGATTTCAGACACGTACCTCTGCAACGATAAATGAATTTCCCTGGTAGTGTCACTATTTAAAAAAAATATTCAGGTTCTCTAACAGTTCAAGATTAAATGCCAAGAAAAATGTTTGCATGTTTTACATCTTATAATTCACAGTGGATTTTAGTGGATTTCACTCCCTGCATACTAGTGCTCACTCTATCAAAACAGTGACATGAAAGGTTATGTTGATAAAAAAGTATTTAAGATAAGATTAACTTTATTGTCCCAAATGAAATTTGATTTGGGTACAGACTCTGGCTGCTACATTGTTCAAACTATGTCACACTGCATTCACACATAAAAACACTGCTAAAAAAAAATTCCACTATAAGACTATAAATAAATACATAAGGAAGCATGTTACATTCACAATAAAAACTTTGAAACAAATTTTTTTTTAATAAAAACTAGTGTTGCACCGATACCGATACCAGTATCGGACGGGGCCCCGATACTGCCCTAAAATGGTGGTATCGGTATCGGTGAGTACCAACAAATAGGGCACCGATACCATTTTGAGAGCCATAAGTTTATTCAACTATTGTCACCCACTCCTGTTAGGCAATAAAAAGTTCTACTGGATTCACTTTGTATTAGATTTTTTCCTGCTTCACAAGGCAGCAGCTTGACAAAGCCATGATGGCAATTATTTTACATTATTATAGTATCGGTATCGGCCGATACTGCACAGCCAGGTATCGGGTATCAGTATCTGGGCCAAAAAATGGCATCGGCGCAACACTAATAAAAACCCTTCTTTAAAATATCTGTTATGTGAGATAATGAATATATAAAAAAAGCATGTCAGTTTAGTTTAAACTTTCAATACCATTGCCTATTCCACTATTCCATTTAGGGGAAAGGGAAACAAATGAGTTCTTATAGCGGTTCAATCTACAGGCAGGGACTCTAAGACGTCACCTGAAGGAAGAAACTGATACTCTGAATAAAGAATATGAGCGGGGTCTGAGATGATTTTCTGGGCTTGTCTGGTTATTGTTTCATTGAAGATGTAGCCGCTGCTGGACCCTGTTGCAGACATAATCAACTTTAGCGATCCACGTAATTTATTGTCGATTTTTAATTCAGGATATTTATAGGAATCTGCTTGGGCAATTAATAGATTATGGATGACCACTGGAGAGTAGTCTCCAACCGCCCTCGGGTCAAAGATCAGTTCTTGTATTTTTTGAACATTAAGAGTCAGAAAGTATTCCTTACACCACCGAGCAAATGTTTTAATCTTCTGTCTGTAACCGATTAGGTCTGATGTGCCTGAAATGAGGCAGAGAATAGATTTATTTGCCTGAAAATGATCTTCAGCACAAGATTAGACCAATGGCAATGTTTGGTTGCAATGGTCTATAGTGGTAGAACTTTAGTGTACAACAAAATTAGGTCTTATTTGATGTTCTGCTAGACTATTTTAAAATTTAAAAGTTACATAAACTGTAACTTAAAAAAACATTCAAAACATTTATGTTATTTAAAACAGATATCATTTGTAAAATTAGAGTTAGAAAACCTCTCGGCCAAAGCTCAGGCCATACCTTACACTATTGCCTGCATGACTGTCATCACAGAGGCAACACACGCATACACAACCTGTTTTCTGAGTATAAACCAGGCATGGATTATTGTCCAGGGGTCTGATGATACAAAGCTACTGTAGACCATCCATCCACTGGGTTGTGAGGGGTGCTGGTAACTACGGGCGAGAGGAGGGGTACACCATGGACAGGTCAACACATACAGGACAAACAACCATTCAGGCACACACTCACACCTAAGGAGTATTTAGAGAAGCCAATTAACAGTCATGTTTTTGGACTGGGAGGAAGCCAGAGAACACCCACACATGCTCAGGGAAAACATGCAAACTCCATGCAGAAAGAGCCCAGGTCAGGAATCGAACACATGACCTTGCTGCAAGTGCTACCCACTGCTTCACTGAGCAGCCACCTACTGTAGACTTTTTTTGTGTATGTGTGTGTGCAGATAGCTACGCAAGGAGTACTAGACTGGTGTACCTTGTCAAAAGCCAAGAATAGAGGTGTTGTTGTCATGGTGTGGGGCTGCATGAATGCTGCTGGTTTTGGGAAGCAAAAGAGCCTTAAAGAAACTGAATGAAAACATGTACAGTAACATTCTGAAGCAGAGCTTGATCCCCTCTTTTCAGAAATGCGAATGTGGGCAGTATTACAGTATAAACAAACTGGACTGGCCAATCATGTTTTAAAACCTAAACCCTACGGAGCATCTTTAAAGGGGACATCCTTAAAGGGAACATGGAGGAACTTGGGGTCTTTAGCATCCACCGGTTCTGTTATGTCATCATGAAACTGCCAGCACTTTAGACATTCATGGGTGTATATTGAGTTATTTTGAGGAGACAGCAGATTTACTCTGTTCTAGAAGCTAAACAATGATTGCAATTTTTCAAAGTCCAAGGTTTCTAATGAAAAGAATGTATTATAACTACAAATATGTGAGTTATGTGCACAATTGTGTGACGCTGTTTATAAATTATTTCAAAGGTGCTTGAGTTATATGTTTTTCAGGGAAAATTTAAGAAAGGCTCAGCAGCATATTTATGTTTTTAGGAAGAAGAGATCTTAATTGCTTTACTTTTTAGGAAAAAGGGCTTGTTTGACAGAAGTGCATAAAAAAAGGTGTGGTGCTTTATGTCAACTTGCACAGTCAGTCTGAATATTAGAAATCCAACTCAACAAGAATGGAAGCAGTCATGCTAATCCCTTTAAGCCTCTTTCATTGGCTGTTTCCGTGTTTCAATGAAGATCACTTTGTTAATGTCTAGGTGCAGGTTGTTATTAATTTATTACTGCATTTCTTTGGAAATATCCTGTAATATTTTTGTTACAAAACATCGTAAAATATTTTATGATGTTTTGCAAAAATTATTTTTGTGTTTTTGGCTGTGAGTTGATAGCAGCCTTATGTGCAAAAGACAAGTACGTCTTTGGGCATTTTGTCTTACCATAGGTCCAATATGAGTACGCACACCCCTGATTGGGAATCACTAGCCGAAAGGGATACTTATGTTGAAAATTATATATAAGGAGTTGTTGCCAGATTAGTGAAACTTGCTGTCAATCGGCTAACATTTGTCCTGAGCAAAGCAAGACTATAGCATATCTCTCTATTTCATAAATGCCATCATTGGTTTGTTCAAATTTACTGCATGCAGAATCCTTTTTGCATTTTTTTGTTACATGCATAGAAGTATTTAATCATTTACCACAGACATGACGGTAGTAGGTAATGTGCCCCCAACAGTCTTCTTAAATTGATTTTGTTAATAACAGAACAAGAGCTGTATTTCCAATCAAAGTAGGTATGTCATATATTTATAATTCAGTGTAAAAAGCAACAGTTAAAATAAAGCAGCATATTTACTTCCATAAACCTTTACAGTGCTGTTATTGTAGCTAGCTAGTTGAAAAAATAAGATATTATCATTTTGAATATGGGTTAAATTACACTGAAGATCATAGTTGGTGCTGATTATATTTATTTAATTCAGGCAAAAAAAAATTGTCTTAATTAGTTATGAAATAGGACACAAGGTAATTAATAAAGAAAGACTTGATGAACGATTCAGTCAGGCATTAAATCAGGTAACCACTATATGCAACCTATCTAAACTTTACAAAAAAGTTTTGTTAATTTCTCAAAGGAACAAAATGCATCAATGTTAAATAAACTGCAAAACACAGCAGATAACCGGAGCAGCTCAGTGTGTCTCTAAACTGCTTCATCAAGCCCTAGCAGACTTCTTCTGCCTTACAATAACACAGAATCCATTCATAGCGTCGATTCCAATAATCAGACGTTAATACTTAAACAATTCTTATTATAGCCAATTACTTTACTGTTTCTTCACTCTTGTAAACTGACTAAATCACCAAAATGTATTATACTATATGAACTAATGAACTCTGATTACAGTTTTATAGTGTTTTAAGCAACAGTTTCTAACCAGTTTTAATTATTTTTAAATTGCTCAAGAATTCTAGATTTAAATAAAATCTACTTTGAATAAAAATTTCTACTGTCTTAATGGAATAACTGAAGGTATTAGGGTGCGTTGTCAAATAGGAGGCGCTTGAGTTTCTAAGTATCTGCCAATTTTAACTCAGCATGATGGATACAGATTTTATCAAGTGAGTCACAGAGCTTGTTTTGAGTTGGAAAGCCGGCGTCAATGTCTGTAGGTGTATCCAATTCACCACAGACAAAACCAGTTTGGAGGGTTCCACCACCTACTCCAAGAGCTGCGTCTGGTACTTCCTTGTATCTAGCCAGGCAGAGAGCACCAATGCTGGGGAGACACTGACTGGCAAGGCTCTGTGTTGGAGCTAGGACACCAAGTTATAAATGAATCAACCGTCCTTAAAATAGCTTTTTTAAAGGCCACCTGAAAACCTCTTTAGAGAATTCTAGAGCATTGTTTTCTCCGCATTCCATTTTTATTTTAAAATATTTCGTCTCCAGCTCATCAAAAAAACACATCCGGTTACCAGAGCTGCTCAGTGCATTGTCTCCAAACTGCTTCTTATTAGCCAACTTAATGTCTGCAAGTATTAGACTTTTTTATAATAAAATAGACTTTAACAGTAATTTATGATATAAAGAAGTGACTTTGGATATAAAATTGAAATAGGGGCTGCAATCTTAATGTATCCATCTATTCCATGCTGCTAAGTTTCCTGTAAATCATTTCCATCCACTTTGAGAAGAACCATTTACTGTACACTCTTATTTTTATATTGCTAAGAATAAAAAAAAAAACAATGTTTGTCAATTGGGTATTGTATAACATCTACTGGTGATTTCAGGAGAATCCTTTTGCAAATAAAACATATGACAGCTGTGCTGTCGTTGGGAATGGTGGGATCCTTGCAAACAGCAGCTGTGGAAAGAAGATAGATTCAGCTGATTTTGTTATCCGGTGAGTAATGTGTCTGAACATCAGAGGTTAAAATATATTTTTAAGAATCCCATTAAGAAAGTGTAAACGTTATTTCTATTAGGTGCAACCTAGCTCCTCTGATAGATAAATACATCGAACATGTTGGTATGAAGACAAACCTGGTGTCGGCAAACCCAAGCATCTTTTATGAAAGGTGAGAGATAATCCGTTTTTGTCAGCTTGGATAATATCGGTGTTTTGTATTTCACATCAGCTTTGTTTTTGTAGGTATGGATCTCTTACAGGACCCAGACGGAAGTTTATGGAGAAACTGTGCCAATATGGCGACTCCATGCTTCTCCTCCCTACCTTCTCTTACACTGGAAATATTGCTGTCTGTTTGCGGGCTTACCAAACAATTCAGGACTTTGAAAGCCCCATCCAACCTATCTACTTTAGTCCAGCGTACTTAAAAGATCTTGACACCTTTTGGCGCTCTCAAGGATGGAAAGCTGTACGGCTCAGTACTGGCATGATCCTCACGAGCATGGCGCTGGAACTCTGTGACAACGTCCACCTGTACGGCTTCTGGCCCTTCAGTCTTCACCCATATACATTTAAGGAGCTGACTAACCACTATTACGATGACAAAAAACCAAAGGGGGGATTTCATGCCATGCCAGAGGAGTTTAAGCTCTTATTGCAGCTGCACAGCAAAGGTGTACTTAAGCTGCACCTTGGAGACTGTGAACCCAACAAAGATTAGTCCAATAGAAAGCCGTTCTTTCAAATAGAAAGAACTTACCACTAAATCAGCATTTTTTTATATTTATTTAATTTTTAATTTTTTTCTTTTTTTTTTTTTTTGCTGATTAACTCTATGGATAGTTTTTCTTCAGTGATATTAACATGTCCCAGGCATTATTGCATCGATTTACTCCTTAATTGTTGAAATTCCACTTTTGTGTCTATAACTGCCTAATTGGTGCCCTCCTCAGGTTATGATGGGTTACTACATTAGATTAGATCTGATGTGCTCTCTTCATCCTGTGACATTGGAATTGGCTCGGACGGGGCCACCTTTTACAGCTATTTTTTCTGTCTCTGCTTCTCTCTCTTTGAACCCCAGTCAGCAGCTCACACTGAGCCTGGTTCTGCTTGAGGTTTCTTCCTGTTAAAAGGGAGTTTTTCCTCTCCACTGTCGCTACAAGCATGCTTAGTGTGAGTGATTGCATTCAAGTCAATGAGTCGATGCAATAAACTGGTTTTCCTTAGATAGAAAACTTTGAATCAACTTGACTGTATGATCTGGTGAACTGTAAAGTGCCTTGAGATGACATGTGTTGTGAATTGGTGCTATATGAATAAACTGAATTTAATTTAATTGAATTCTTGCTACTGGCCGCCCTGGGCAGCGTTTGTTTACTTGGTAACTGACAACAAATGAAACAGTTTTATAAGTATGAGAGATGGAAATAAATCATGGTTGGGCAGGGGTGTGTGTGTGTGTGCAGGGGGGGGCGGCGTGACTGTGTGATCTCCGGTTTACAGTGTATTTTCATAATTTAAAAAAAATGTGTGACTTGTGAAGGATGTGATTAATTATTAATTGTGCACAGTGTGAATGTTGTTGAAAATGTTTACATCTGTAACCTTTGATCTGGAAGTGATTATTCAATGTTATTATTTCTGTAAACTTAGCTGTTCTACTCATTCACCTGATTCATGTAGTTGTAACATTGAAAAAGATCATGAAGTTATGATAAAGGTAGACTTCTATGAAAAGCACACTGAAAGAAGACAGATGAAGTGACCTTTTCGAAAAATTTTAAATCAATCCTAAGAGCCTCTGTTGGTAGTTTAGAAAATATTTCACTTTTCTGTCAAATTGTTTTGCTACAGATTTCTTGTTTTCTGATTTGTACCCGCTTTTGTTGAGCTTAATTGTAAAGTTTTGTTGTTTGTGCGAGCATAGTATTTTTGTAAATTTTCTGGGACAATTTGGAAGGAACATTTTGACACAGACAATTTAATCAGAATATTTTTACGCAGGCTAACATGTCCTTCCTTTTATCTTACTTTTTACTGCAAAACTATTTATACCTTTGGACACAGCACTTTGTTACTTTCCACTCACAAGCCTAGCTGAGAAGTATGATTTACTGTAACGCAAAGTGGACACATAATTGTGAAGTGAAGGAAAAATTCAACTTGTTTGTCAAAGGTTTTTGCAAGTGAAATCCTGACAAATTGTGTATTTGTAATTAACAAATTAAAGAATACTTACTATTTGTCTCTGGTGTTCTGTGTAAGCGTCAAAGAGATGTTAGAGAACATTACTGATTGAAAGGGAAGGGAACACAGCTAACAGGTCTGGAAAAAATAAAAGTTGTGGAAAAGTTGTGGAATTTAATTAATCAATAAATAAATCCTAATTTGGAATAATAATATATAAATATAAATATATATATCATCCAAAGCCAGGAGGCCCCTATGCATTTGCAGGGATTACGTAGGATGATTTGTTGACAGGCCCATGTAATCCTTAAAGATTATGTTTGTTGAAAAGTTGAATGAAGTCATTTTTAAATAAACATTCGGAGTCAAACCATAAGACCACACCTTTGCTCTAAATCTCAAGTTGCGTGTTTCTCCACCATTATTCTGCAGAGACATTCTTGTTCTTGGGGGGAAGAAAAGTTGAGAAGCTTGGCTGTAAATGTAGGCAAATACTTTATTTAGCTGAAGTTGCACTATGTAGGTTTTTTTATAAAAAAAAAAAAAAAAGAATGAAGAAAAGAAAAGAAAAGAAAAGAAAAGAAAAGAAAAGAAAAGAAAAGAAAAGAAAAAAGAACTGTCCGACATCCCGACAGTAGATAGTCCAATGAAAGAAAACATGGTCCTTTTCTGCCACCTGCTGGTCATACTGCTATCTGCAAAAATACAAGATCAGAAAATATGGAGCAACTCTGACATAAATTAGTACAGATTACAGTGGCGGTTCTAGACAAAAATGCACGAAGGGGGCAGCAGGGGGCTCGCGTGTGTCCATGGGGGCCCAGAAAAGCATGAAATATAAAACGGGGTCTACAGGTTTTATAAAGGAATGAGTAACTCTTATTAAATGCTTTTTAATGCCCTTGTAATGCTCTCAGAAATAATCTTAATAGCATCAACAAGTGTTTATAAAAACTGCAAAATTTTCCCCATTCTCCAGCCTCTTCTCCGCAAGCTTCTTTTCCGAAGCTTTCAGAAGCAGTTCCCCGCAAACACACGGAACCAGTTATATCTGATATAATATACCTGACAGAATTGTTTTTATAAACGTTCACAGCAGAAACCAAAAATTCAGAGTTTCCAACCTTAGGCTAGATAATTTCAGAGTTGAGGCTTTAAATCTGAGTTCGTAAAACCTGCTTCGTGGAACTGGCCTCTGGTCAGTTCATAAAATTAGCTTCTAATCTGACCCTGAAATACTTGAATGTAACCCAAAGCCTCACAGAAACTAATCCTTATTAGTTTCTGTAATTAGAATTAGGATAATTAGGCTTATCCTAATTAATCGACCACCAACAATAACAAATAAACTGATATAATTACCATTACACATCTCTTGTGTTTTTATGGTTACACTTTCTTAACATGACATAAGTATTAAAAGCTTGAAATTTCATGAATGTGAAGCGAGGATTACTGACACAAAATTGAGTTCAAATTTGGTAATTTTTGACATTAGCTCAAAATAACAGCATAAACTCAATAGGCAGTATTCTATATGGTTTCTAGCTTAAAACTAACCCCATACTGTGCAGGAATTTAACAAGTTTGTTTAGGTAGGCATCACTGTGATAAACTATTTTACATAAAGCAGCAGAGACATGTTCTTTGGAAAGATAAATTATACATCTCTCTGTTTGGCAGATGACAGGTCTGGATTTAGCAGTTGGAGGACTGTTCTTTTTTTTTTTTTTGTGGGCTCAAAAAGGCTTCATTACTTCCAGTGAAATTAACTCTTGAGGATTCTTAAACATTTTGGACAACGTTTTATTGCTAGCTTTATTGGAACAATAAACGTGGCTGCTCACCAGCGTTTAAAGAAAGAATGACAAAGACTTGAATAAGCAAGTGTGGCATCAAAAAAAGTTGTCTTGTCTGCACAGAATCTGTGCCCCAGCCAAAAAGTACACCCTTGGGTTGAACTTGGATTAAAACTGCAAGCAAGACCTTCATGTCAATTTTAAAAATGGTAAGATATTTAAAAAAAAAAAAAAAAAAAAAAAAAACCCTGACATTTAGGGAAAGCAGTGCCAAAATAATTGAAGCTGCATTAATGGGTCAAAAAAATGTATAACCCCAATGAATGTAGGAACGGGATTCACTCAAGTTCATATCTATATGAAGGAATGAGAAAACTGTTTTTCTACTGTACTGTATTCCCTGCTAACCTATATGTAGAAGAAAAGAGAAATGTCTGTGTTTTATTTGCGTGAGTGTTTTCTTGTAGGTTGTCTTTAAGTTTGAGAAATAAGTCTAACAAAGGAAATCTGCTAACCAAACCTTTTTTTTTTGCCTCTTACTTTTTTCAACTTTGGGTTCCCTTAAACAGACTAAGTGGTACTATAATGTACATGAACAGAACATCGAAAATTTATTAGTAATTTGTCAGATTTGAGTTAAGCAAAACTCTTTTATTTCTTAAAAAGTGATTGCTAAAATAAAAAAAGAATAAAAAATTGAATCAAAAATTCAACCTGGAGTTACTCACAGAGAGAAAAGTTGTAATTAGACAAATTTCTCTGGCGTTCAGACCCCGGCAGAAGACTTGGATGCTGTGAAATGACACCAGCTCGGATAAATAACTTAGAAGAATTATAGTACCGGTAGTCTTCTCCCCCAGGGCCCAGACACTAGTGGAGGAATAGTCCACTGGTAACAGCTTGAGAGTGAGGAAGACGATGAGGTGGGTGGAAGTTTAGGTGGTTTGCAGTAGAGCTTTCTGATGGGGATCTTGAACCATATTTGGCTTTAGAGGGGGAGTGGTGTTTGGATGGAGCTTTTTACTTGGCACGTCAGCAGGTGATCCAGGTGAGGCTCATAAGAGTCTTGTAGATTGAATTTTCACTTAATCATTATAATTTTGTTATACATTCCTATTCGTTTCTTACTGTAAAAAGTCTATACATTTTCAGAAACATGTTTTTTTTTTAAAGGACAGCTGTAAAATTCATGCAGAAGGGAGACATTAAAGACAGTCTTTGCAAAAAAAAGAGGCCAAGCAGGAAAAGAACAGGAATAAATATATTGTGAAAAATTGTACACTTCTTAAATATAGAATTTAGACTGATAAACCTAAACTAGTTTTGTAGATTAGAGGCTAAGCTGCCAGTCATGCAGAACTGAGCAGATGGGGTCTATGAATACCCTCATAGCATCCCTCCAGTTTGCCCCTTCTTCACTTTCTGAAGAGTCCCCTTCATTAACAGGAAGTTATCTCTTTGAGGGAGCAGCTGCATCTAGAGTCAGTGTAGAGTCAGCAGCTGCTTTCAGTCAATTTAATCTATGGATCTGACCTTAAACTCTACAACATACCTTGAATGAAAACTTTATTAAGGGTAGATGGATCTTAATAAAACAATATGTGATAATTTAGGACAAGCTTTAGTAAATCTCCTGTGGTCTGAGTTGTGCTGTTTCATGAAAATATGACTAAAATACCAGTTGTTTCTGTGATGTCCATTCCATCTAATGATGAGGGGAAATGCTAAAGTAAAGATACAGTTCTATTCTTAAAAAGAGTAAGTATACATTAGGGTTAGGTGGCTTTCCTCTAAGGTTTTGGTGTTTTTCTGTTTGAAATTCACTATTTAAAACATTGGATTCAGGAACCCAGGACTCATGACAATCTCTAATGAACATCTCAGTAATCTCACTCTTTATATTTGTTTCAGCCTGCAGAAAAATATATGTATTTTAAAAGAATAAGTACCTTTGTGCACCAACGAACAGAAATTATGTTAAATTATGACATTTTAAAATTGTGCTTTATTTAAAAGATGTAATATTTTTACATTTTCAATCAACAATATGTATTGTAAAAGTAATGATCAGATTAAACATTACCCATGGGACCATGGACAATAAATTGTGTACAACCTAA